TGCAAAGTAAACAACATCTGTGAATTAGGGTATGGTCCGTGTTGCTCTGCTCGGTCTTCTAAATAATCGGCAGAGTGAATTAAAAAATAAATGTAAGACCTTATTTGAGTTCATCTCTGCAACAAATATTCTTCTTTATGAAAAAATAGCACAAAAAATTTATAATTGAAGAATAAATTGCTCAAAAATATGTATTTATTTATTTATTTTACATTTCATTTCACTTAATAAAACAAAGTTTTATATCTAGCAAGATTGATCAGGCGCAGAAATATAAAATAGGGGACATTAATATTTGAGCGAGTAATGGGCCAGTTGCCATAAACGAAATAAATTGACTGCAGAGCTTGAGCGCGTTTGCATTATTATGCGTATGACCGAAATTTGATGTTGCTATTTTACGAGGGGGCCGGCGCATGAATAAAACGACTGGAAAATGATCCGCCGGCCAGCACATCATATTATATAAAATGCGGCATTTTGAGGCCCGCAATAAAAAGACCAGCAAAATCAGTCTCGGCACTATTAAAAGGTCGACGTTTTATTTTGCATGGCTGCTGACGAGAGCGCGTGTATCTCCTTTATAGTGCCCGTCGTAAATAGCCGAATATCTATTTCATTTTATGGTATAAAGCCTGTAGATCTAGCATGCATCTTAAAAGCTTTGCTGAGGTGCTGGCTGGGTTTTGAAATTGTTTTTGTTCCATCAGTTTCTATAAACTTTTTTAACTGATTGAAAAGTAAAGGCAAAATTTTTATTTTTCTGCAAATTTTGTAATAAAAGGTTCAATAAAAATTTAAAATATTTATTTTTTAGGCTAATTTTTTCTTGGCCTGTTTTTTCTTTTTATATAAAATTTATAAAAATTTTCAATGAAACTATAATTTATTGCAGATTAATTTGTGTAAAAAAAAAACCAGTAGTTTGCAACGGCCGCAAATGAAGTGTGCTGGAGGTGAAAAAGCTGCCGATGAAGCGTGCTGAAGCAGACCAAGCTGTGCGAGCGTCTGTTGAATAATTAAGTCGATTTATTAAATAAAACGAGCCGCACGTGAATTATCGCACATGCATACACGCGCGCACCAACAGGAGGCAAAAGTTGGCCTGTGGAGCGTTCGGGATCAGAGTTTGCTAACTCGGATTAAGGTGAATAAATGCAGCACGCCTGATTAGCAATTGTTGCTCGGCTCGTTAGCTGTCTTACCCTTATTTATCGAGAAACACGCCGCCTGCGAAAATTGTTATTAATGGCGGCCATTCGCTGCTTTTTCTCGCAGGCTGTGCAACTTTTGTTTCTAACGAGGCATAAATTCAGCAACAGCCAACTTGGTAACGCCGAGTGTATTAATTGCTCACTATTATTCCGCAATGCCTGCCGGCTTCCCAATAATAATGCACCTAGACTTGGTATAAAATTCTCAAAATTTTTTATTTATTTTAAATTTACGTTAAGCCGACTTAAAATTCAAATCACAAATCAACCCTCAATCGTGAAATTGACAAAACCACAAAATTTTAAACTTTTGATAAAAGTGAGCGATAAAATTTGTTTTCCGATTGGGTGTGGAAAACTTTCATCAAAGAGGTGGGATCAAATCGTTGCCATTGGTTGCCATATAAATTCACTTCACTGATAATCAGCCCTTGATCTAAAAATTCAGACCGTACTTTTTTATGCTTTCGTGTGTTTGTATGAATTTCTGAACAAATTCATTTTTGTACAATATTTGCCTCAAAGAAAAATGAGAAATGAATGGCTTGGAACATGAGTTTGTTTGCCGTTACAACAACGAACGATTCAAAGAACACGCTATCAAGTCTTATAATATACAATGTTGAGATTGATGTTTAAATTGGATGCGCGCCTCTCAAGATTGCCAAGAGCCCACTTGACACACTTTTGAAGCTCACATTTCCGCAACATCGAGGCGTGTGTGTTGATCATTAAATGCACGCCGACATCTCAAGGATGATTTCGTGAAGGTGGTTGATCGGAGAAGAATCCTTGGGGATATTTTAATGAATTCACAATCGTGTCAAGTGAGAATTTGCTACTGGAAAAATATATATCAACTCATCGGCCAATGCGATAGAAAAATGTGATGCAGAAGGAACTCTATTAGCAGTTTGAACCAATGTGCCGGTTGATCTGCTTCTTCCAGAAAAGCTGCTCTATCTGCCGCCTTCCCTCTCACGCGGCATAAACATAATGCACGCTTCGACTGCACATCAAAGTGCAATGGCCCGAAAAATAATCGCAGCGCCGAGTGCCAATTTCGAAAAGTGAAAACTGCAGGAACTGCTTCTTGCTGCTACTCAAAGTGGAGGTGATGATAAAAATGCAGAGGAAATCGAAGGCTGCCGAGGCGTTTGTAAAAATCTAGGTCAAGCGCATTTTGATACAACTCATGCGGAAAAAAATGAAATTTGCGGTGAGAAGCTTGGGTCAACAATAACACCCAGTGGAATCTTATTGTTATATCTCATGGTGGTTATTTTTTGGAGCTGCTTTCTTCATCTGATAAATAAATTTTTGGTATCAGAATAAAATAATAAAATTCAATTATTTTAATTTCAGATCTTCAATTGAAATACAAATTTGGGTTTTTTTTCGTTTTAAAGAAAATTCTAAATTGTGTCTGTCTGAACTGGTATAACTTTTAAGTGGGTGCTTGTTGACCTTCATTATTTTCATTTTTGGGAAGCATGTATTTTATCTAGTTATTATATATTTTTAATTAATAATATGTAATTAAAATACATTAATTAAAATTTTCAACAAATTTATCAAAATATTATTCTCAGCCTATTTGTTTCAATTATGTTTTAGTATATTCCGTTTACAATTGGCGACAGAGCCCACGTATGGATTCCTATCCAAATTTAGAAAAACAATTTTGATGAAAAACAGAACATTTATTTGTAAACAGTTCAACGTAAATTATAAAGGGTTCATCGCTTAAGTCATTAGTGCTGGAAACAATTAGGGTAATGATGGTCTGGAGCGAATGTACTTTTTTTGCAAACTACTGCACGTCGCAATTAGCGTCCAAACCGCATTAGTGCACAGCCAGTTGTGCCACATGAGCGGCTAACGAGTTGAAGCCATAATATTATAAATGTGAAATCTGAGATGAATTTGGTCAAACATTACATAATAAAATAATAACAACAGCAAGAGAGGTTTTTTATCGTTTTAATTGGAAATGCATTTATAGAAAATGCTGTAAAAAAGCTTAAATTAGAGGGGATAATGTTCAAAATATTTAAATAGTAAAATGTAATTATTATTTCCTCTTTCTGTTCACCAGAGATTTACAATTTAAAATAAAAAAAGGAATACAAATAGAATGAAATTGTATAATTTTTATCCATGTTTTGTGCATTTTAACAGAATCAGAACATTAATAATATTGTCGTATTCAGCCGTATTCAGAAATGAAACTTTTTTGCTTGTATGTGCATGGAAAATTATATTACATTCACTGCACGACGCTGCTTGACGATGACTACGGCGAGTTATTCAAAAAGCTTTTGCATCAAGAATTGAGTGAATAGCGTGCACAATGCTATTTTACTATTTTCGTATGCATCACAAACCATGTAGTTGTGGCAAATAGAAAGGGGGAATTTGTCCTTCCGTTCTATTTGCAACAAGATCGCGTGCATTTCAAACAGTTTCTTATTGAAATGAATCAGCATTCACTTGCTTCTCACGGGCAAGTTGAGTGTCGGACAAATTTTTCTTGATGTACGATATTGAAAAAAATATTAATATTATATTACTGATTTTTCACAGGGTAACATGCTAGACTTATTGACAATTCAATTAAGCACTATTATCTCTATGAAAGGTTTTCTGATTAATCAATTTTAAACATGAAAATAAAAAATAAAATGAGAGGACTTTACCATTATTAATTATTATTTTAGATATAGCACAACCGATGGAAACATGTAATGAGAGTTAATTAATTATAAGCAAGGCGAAATTTTTTGTAGTATATTCATTTTAATGTAATGATATCCGCATTCTTTGAACGGTGCTATTTTTATGTGGTATATTGTGTAGCAATGAATGGGGAATAAATAAAGAGGTAAATATTTATTTTGAACCTTGATTTCATAGCACTACTTTTTGAAAGAGTCCACAACATTTCTTTTCCTATTTTAATGTACTAATTTTTTATTTAGAATAGAGAATTAGACAATTAAAGAACAATAAAAAAAATTAAGATAATTGAAATAAAATAGTGAATATAGAGACTAATTTAGAGAAAAACTACCTCCAAAAGAATTGTAAGAATTCAAAATTTAAGGTTAAAAAGCTAATAAATATCACCTCTAGCCATTTACGTGATATGTATTTCCCTTTCATATTATTAGAGATGGAATTTTATTGCAAAAAATTTTTCCAAAAGGTCAAGAGGTTAGTTCTTTGCCACACCACAAATGCCAGCTGGACAAACAAACGCCCACTAGCAGCAGCCCGAGCAGCCCAAACACACATGCAAATAGATTCGTACAAATTCAGTGACGCGTTCAAACACACCGGAGACCAGGACGTATATCTGCCGGATTTACGCCAGGCACAAATACACACCTGGAACAGTGTTTGACGCTCGCTCATTGGCAAGCTGCTCATTTGACATAAATTTAACGCATGGCCTCGCATATCAAACAATGGATTCAGATTTTAATGTGGAGCGCAAACTATGTAAATGCAAAAAGTTTGCATCGGCAGGCAGTGTGCGCCTGAACGCTGCGACGAGTGTGTTGATATTTAACATTCGAGTTGACAGGTTTACCTTGCGCCTGTTTAAATAGCAGATTAAATATACGCGCGCCTAGCGAGGGCTGCCAGGTGCCCGACCGGCGCTAACGCAGTTAAATCTGTCACTCGCACTTGAGGGGGAATTTTTCGCACACCGGGGTGCGAGAGCAGCGCAACCGAGCCTTTTTAACGAGACCAAATCTGATTAGGACTTTGGTGTTGCAGATTCGGCACGGCCAAATGAGCTGTCATGGAGCACAGCAGGAGTGGCAGGGACGCCGGACATCATAAGGTAGGAACAATTTTCGGCTATTCAAAACTTCGAAATTCAAAGTAAAAATTCACTTGATAAAAGTAAACCTGATCTATGCTGTACCGCACGCCATAAATGCCAGGCAGGTTGCCTACTTATTATTAACAAGTTAAGCGATTTCGTAAAAAAAAAAATACAATTTTATAATAAGGGTATTTACTGATCTTTAATTCGGTACATACAATCAAGGAAAAATATCTTTTTCAATAACGTTTTTTTTTACTTTTGGTGAGTTTAAAATAATTAAATTCAATGAAAATTGATTTTTTTTTGTACTTGATAAAAATATTTCCATATTTACTTAAACGCTCAAAATTATTACGGTTTGTTTTTTTAACTTTTTTACAGACTGTAATAGTGCTGCGATTTTTTATTTAAGAGAAAAAATTATTCTAAATTGTTGCCCTTAATTGAAAAACTTTTAAGGCGATTTAACCAACTTTTTGTCTTCATCGGCTTAAGTTTGGGTTTTTCAAAGACTTTCTTTGACAACCACAGATTCAGGCGTGAAATTCAAATTTTCAAAGGCCGAGGTCTCCAGATGCGGTGACAATCAAGCGGACATTTGAATGGGGGGCGCGAGCAGTGTTGGTCCAAGAAACGCGAGAGCAGAAAAGCGCCGCCGTGTTTCTCATTACTCTAATCCTCTCGCGCGCGGGCGCGTAATTAAAGAAAGTTGCGCTCAAGAATTCTGCTGCTTGCGTGCCCTGAAAACACGCTCGGCTGCGTTTTAAAGGCTGCTTTTGTCTCGCCGATCTCTTTTGTTCTCCATAGGTGTGGGACACAAAGTGAAATCTGATATCGTTTAATCAGCGCACGACGAACTAAAACTCTCTCCATTCAATTTGCGCCACCCGAGAAATTTACACTTGAATGGTGCGCCGCCTCCAGAGAGAGAAAGGACGGCTGGCGAGAAAGCGAGATTTTTCAGCAGTAATCCCGAAAAAGAAAGGAAGAGCTCGCGAGCGAGAGAGAGAATGAAACGAAGAATTTGCAGAAAAGCTCCTGTCTTTTTTAATTAGTGCTAATCCGATTATCTGGCAAATTGAAAGAAAATTAAGTCTGCGCAGAATCAATATTGCTTTGAACAACGACGGAGACGCGCGCGCTTTGAGCTCAAAAGACGCCGCGGATTCCAATTATAATACTTGGGGCGCAGTTCAAGTGTAAATAAATCGTAAGCTGCCGCCGATTTAACCAAATTGGAATTTGATGAACTCATTTGCCAAATTGATCGCCCAAATTTAATATCTCGCTCTTTCTCGAAGATCCTCCTTCGAGGTAAAATTCGTGTCAACCAATGAGTTTGCGGTTAAATATTTGCTCAGATTTGTGTTTTGGGAATTATTGCTGCGCCTTACCTTCAACTTTGCTCACCCGAATGAGTTTTTTACTCGAATGTACGCAAATAATTTTCCTTTCAAGATGGAAATTAACGAGAAACCTTGAGATGGAACCAAAGACGAGGAAAGTGGTTTTGATTAAAATTCAAGATTCAGCGAGTTGGAAATTGTGAATTAATCAAGTATTTATTAAAATTTACTGCAATAATTATAATTTTTTAAGCACTTTTATTGCAATCATTTTATCCTTTCTCAGGCAAATATAAGTTTTTCCATCACACATTTATTTAAAATAATATAAAATTATTATTTGTGAACCGAATATTTTTCTGATTCTAAACAAAAATGACTATATTTTGATGATTATTTTAAATAAAATAATTTTTTAAATACATTTAATTTAATGATTCCTTCTATTGAAATAGTTAAATCAAGTCTTCACAGCAACAGGAGCCATCTTCAGCAATTGGAATTTTTATAATTGGAATTTTTAACTATGAATAAATCTGGGAGGTGGCTGAGTTTTATAGTTCCAACTAAATTCCAAACTCCATGCTAAAAAATCGCTGGAAAATACAAATTTATATCATCAATATTTTTCTTTTTTAACGGGACGATTCACTCATATTTTGCATTAAAGATCACAAACTTCTTGAGAGACTCTTAATTTGACGTTTTAAAAGTTTGCATCTAAAATGACTGATCTGGGATAAAAATTAGGCATCGTGGAAAGTTTTAAAGTGCATTATAAGTGCTCGCAAGTGATCAAGATTAAGCATCGTCACCGCCCTCGTAAAAGTTTTCTGTGTCGTAAAATTCCAGTATCAGCGAAATTATCCGCAATTTTCCTCAGTCAAGAGCGAATAATAAAAGTGCATTGTTTGCATTTAATAATTTTCACTTTACTGTAGACGAGTAGCAGCACTTCTTGGCCTCTCACGGCGCATTCGTTTACAGTAAAAGGCGACACATATAATCTTTATTATTTCCTCGAGAGCACAAAAGAGGGCCGTAAAAAGAAACTCGCACAAAGAGCACAACGTCCTCTACGATACCGGTCTCGATAATTTTTCTCTGAAAGCAAAGAAGGAGAAAAAAAATGGGTCATCAGAAGAATATTTTTGTTTAGATCCAACGTGCGGGAGACGAAATTTATTATCCGCGCACACCGGAGAAGAGCTTTGGAATTTATACGTATGTATAGTTTACGCCAGCGCAGCCATCAAGATGATGCATTTCGCGATAGCACCGGAGAGTGTAATAACGTCCCTGGAGGCCGCCGACAAAAGACAATGGCACGAGAGAGAAAATTAACAGACTTGGCTGTAAATTAAACTTGTGCATTATGGCGGCGCTACTTCTCTCGAGATAAAATCGAGTCCGAATAACTATTTCCTGCTGCTCGGACGCCTAACAATGAAAACGTCCCTTCTGCCAGCAGCTCTCTCGTTACAAAAGGGAATAAAAATTTCAAGATTAAACTTGCTTACTTTGAGAGAGCGGCAGACGCCCGGATTGAATGCGAAAGAGAGGGACTCACTTGGCAAACACTGGCGAATTTGACTTTCAGATTTTTCGATTAGGCTCTCTGCGGAGAAAGGGTTCTCTTCTCTTTTTTTGCTATTTTCACCAAAGGCAGAAGAGCGAGAGGGAGGTGAAAGAAAAGAAAGTCGCAATTGGATGCGAGCTGAAACGCAATAGGACTGTTTTGTTGAAAGTTTAATGCGTACTAAAAGAATTACTTTCATAGTGACCTCTTTTTCAGGACTTACAAAAATTGTTGATTAAAAATTTTTACTATTAATAATTTATTTTTAAACATACCACATATATAATTTTTAATATTTTATTTTGCTTCCTATTAACCTATCTATTTAATTTTATACTTTTATATAAAATTTAAATAATTGTAATTATACATTGATTAATGCATTGTGATGCATTGTTTATAACTCGTATTTAGCAGGGTCATACAATATGATTATCAGAAAACTTAAAAAATTTTCTTCTTTAATTTTTAAATTTGCATACTGTTCATAATTGGAAATTGGAATTATAGTTTTATATAGAAGATCTGAAACCTTGGGTCGTACATATATATATTAAAATAAATTGCCTGGTGCTATATTATGAATATTAACTTCACATTTTTCTATCATATTTTTATATTTTATCGTGCATGCCTTTATAAAAATTCCAATTTTGGTTATTTATTATTTTATTTTTATTTATTCTCCATTCAGATATTATTGCATTAAATTTATTTGAATTTCTTATATATTTGTGCAAATATTCAATTGGAACAAATTAAAAAAAAATATTTACTATGTTAAAATTGACATAATCAACAGATAGACTTCGATGTTTGATTTCAATACAGTTCGTTCAAATTATTCTCTTTTTTGGCATGCGTGTGGGTATTCAAAAGAATGAAAATCAAATCCGACGTTTAGAGATAACAAGTGAAAAATATAGTGAGAGAGTGTGAGTGCATTCGCGCTAAACGCTAAATTATAAGTTGTCGCACGCAAGTGGGTGTGGTCGCATGCCTTCCAGGGGCAAATACGCCGGGAGGTGAGTTATTCCGGCCGCGTTCACTCTGATTTATCCTGCCGGCTTTGTATAAATTGCATTAAGGAATGTCGAATGGTTCGTGCCGATAAAAATAAATAATACGAAGAAAAGACCGGCCGCAATATTTTCGTTTACATTATATATTTTGGGATTAATCACGCAGCAGTACAAAAAGAAAGACCCTCTCACTCAATTGGCAAAGGCGAGGAAGAGCAGTAAAAATATGGGTTGCTCTGCGTTTAATTCAAGAGAGGGAGAGTCAGTCAGGTTCGCCCGCTGCTAAATTAGAAAAGTTTCTTTTGTGAAACAACAACAAAAGCGGCGGGCGAATGAACGAACGAACGAACGCGCGTTTATTTTTACCCGGCGACGACGTGTATGTGTTTGCGCTGCATGAATCAAGTTTTGGCACAAAGACGTGGAAATGATATTATATGCACGAAGGCGGAAGGGTCGGCGGCGGGGAGTTTAATTAAGCAGCTGACTCATGCGATCACAGGTGAGAGTCCGCAGGCCGAATATTCATATTTCAGACGTGATGCAGGGGAATAACAATATTTATTTCCGATTAGGGTGGTTTTATTATTTTTCCGGAGAGTGCTAGGGGAGCGCTGAACTGACAAGAAACGAGACCACACGCACTTTGCTCAATACCTACGAGATCCCTCCTGTCTGCTTTTAAATTTTCTCTATAGTTAATTCTATATAGTTTTCATTCAATTTTAATTAAATTCATGAAAATAAGTATTGATTAAGAAAAAAATCCCAGGGTTAAGAAAGATTTAAACTCCTTCAGAAACGATATTGTAAGATTTTCAATGCAACTGGAAAATATTTGTTTTAAAATTATTTATATATAATATTTTAGTTTACTTTTTAAAGAGCTAGTTGCATAACCACAGAATATATAACAAATAAAATAAATAAGAAAAGTACATAATTATAATTAATGAAACGAAAATAACAAAAAACCTGTTAACAGGCATGTTTTTGTATGATATAAAAAAAAATTTATGTTTAGACATACATAGTTAGAATATAATGTACCCATATTTAATTAAA